TAGTATCAAAAATAATTAATTCAAGAATTCTGATTCTCTTTTCTATTTCATTAGTAATTTCTTGCTTTTCTTTGGACACTTCTTGTTCTCTAACTTTTACCTTTAAATTATTAATAATTTCTTGCTTGGCTTTGGATTCTTCTCTAACCTTTTCTTCTAAATGTTTGAGTTGCGAACGAAACCCTTCGTTACTTTGCTCTAATTCCTTAATTCTCGTTTCCAAGTCTTTTAACGTTCTTTCAAAATTATTCTTTAAAACCATTTTTTTTTTTTGGTTTAGATTTTTAATTTAAATTGTTCGGATGGATTATTCCAATGAGTTTTATTGCTTTTCTTGCATCAAAAATTACCAATAGAAAATTCTCTATTGCTCAGCCCTCGGTTTTACAACCGTAATTTTAACCATAAATAGCCTAGTACGCTCGAATAACATAGAAAGGCTAATCGCTTCTGTCTCACCAAATAATGATCGACATAAACTCGGAACTTTTCGGCGATTGAACGTTTGTTGACATCTCGCAAATATTATATAACGTTAGAAATCAAATGCAAGAGTGTGTGTTATCATTTGAAAGAAAAGATAAAGTAATATCACCTTTTAATAAAAATTTTTGTACACGGACACAAAATTGTCTTTTTGTTACACAAAAAATAATTTTGACGGAGGCTAAGCTGAAACCAGTATGTTACACAGCAAACAATGCCGCGTATATTTGGCCAAGTATTAAAGAAAGTATACCAGTACCTGAGAAAAAAATATATGGAATTTATTCGTATATAATTAAATAAATAATTTACTATAATAATTTTAAAAAATAAGTTGAAGATTCTTCTCTCCAGTTAGCAAAACGAAGGAGACTTTCTACATTAATAGTATCAAAAGGCTTAACTTGTTAGCAAATGACTTGTAAGAATTATAATTTCTAACGGACTTCCTTTTTCTTTTGTGGAAAATGAAGAAATTAAAGGACTATTTAAGTTTGTTGCGCCTGGATTTTTTCTCCCTATTCGTAGAGCAATTGGTGGTAGTATAACGAAGTGTTCATCTCTGATTTATTATTTATATTTATTCTATTAGTTATATTTGTTAGTTAAGATTTATTATGTAGAATTATTATAGTTAATATAGTTATTCAAGTGTAAGCTTTGAGAATGTGTTATAATAATTTCATTCTCATAGAAAGAATTTTTTTGATTCCTTGGAAAGACAATTATAATTCTAAATATTTCTCCATTGGATTCCAACAGATATTTAACTCTAATGATCACAAGCATGAATGTGAAATTATATCTTCCAAATTTTCAGTTATTGATTCGAACAGTCAGCACGAAATTGGCTAGGCAATTACAAAAAAAGAAAAAAAATAAAAGAATTTTGTTAAATTTTAAATTACCTGAAAATTGATAATTTTAGGTTGCAATGGTATTGAAGTCCTCGTCGTTGCAGCTTGAATACCTAATTTATATTTTACAATATTTAGTTTTGTCAGAATTCTAAAATAGTTGACCTATGTTTGTTTAAGGGTGTAATGACAGAAACGAAAATAGAAAAACCAAATATGAATTGTGCCATGAAACCAATCATTTTTAATTATCTCCGAATTGTTTTTGAATAAACTTTACAAGAATTTCTGTTTCAATTATTTCTAAGCTCTCAATATCATATCTTATGTGTTATGATAGGTAAAAACCGAACGTTCGCATTTTAAGACTGTCCCACACTATGTCCCAAGCTGTCCCACATTATGTCCCAATTGTCCCAAGCTCATCTGGGACATGTCCCAGCATAACACTGCTTATGTGTGCTTTTATCTGATTCTCGGATTACTTAGAAGGTCGCGCAACCTTACAATTTCACTATATAGAATAAAATCTCCGATTTAAATTACAGAATATTTAAAAAATCTCTCTGTGTTTACGTTTCTTGAATTTATTTCCCGTGAAATTTAAGTTCCATTCTAAAAAAGAAAAAAATGACAAGAGGATAATCTTTTAGAACAAGTTTTGAGATTATTAATCAATAACACTAAATCTATATAGTGTTGTGATTTGCGAGAATGAAAAGAAATTACATGGTTATCGACATCGGATAATGTCATGTATTACAGAGTTAATTGTAGTTTGTGTACAAACTGGCCTTTTTGCTATTTGCTTATTAAGTTTCTCCATTTTAGCAGTTGCATATTTATGAGAAGTCGTTAATGGTTTTGGAAATAATTCATGTAAATAACAATTAACTGCCTTCACCTATTGAAAAAAGTATCCTTTTTATTATAACTATTGTTTCATCCAGTTCTTTACGATTAATAAACAAAGGAATGGAAGCAGAAGGTTTTAAGTATAATGGATATCTTTCTACACTTCTACGTATTCGACTGCAAGTAGTACAAATTTTCGTGTTACAATTAATCTTAAAAAAAATTGGCAATAATATACTATTAGTTTATTTCAATGCGGCTAGCAAAAACCGGGACTCAGACGATCACGTGATTTTGAGGTTTTGTAATAATCATATGCACAGGTCTAACCTTTTAGAAAATAAGATTTTTGATCCATAATATAATAGTAAGAAGAGCGTAAAATTTACTTTTTTTGCTGCTTGTCGATTTAATAACTATCGCATTTTTCGTTTATTGTTCTTATTAAATAATATGGAATATGGCATTTATTTTAATAATTTCCCTTTTGATTTCAATATTCTACTTTTGACAATTGGAAATAAATCAGTTTCTTTAAAAGACAAGAGGAATTATATAAAGCGGTCGCACCTTATGTTGAATTCACCTTTTCGTAACATTACTTGTCCTAAGCCAAATGATAATGTAAATAGGTTCAAAAATTTACAAAATAATTAAATAAAATAAGACTATTTTTTTTGCTCACTTATTGTTACAAATTTGTCGTTACATTATTATTATTTTTTTTTATATTTTCTAAACGTTAAAATCTCTGAAAAATAAAGTTCACAGAATTTTTTTTACGAAATAATCAATAACTTTATTAAGTAGATGTATTATACAAATTTTATTATTTAAATTAAAAAAATGTTTATCAAAAGAAGGAAATGAAAAGCTAATGTCTTCAATTTTATGCTTGTAAAACTTTGTTCTATAAGACCATTTTTGAAATTTTTTCGCAAACGATCGTCAAAATTTGATTGGTTAATTTAAATCTTGATTTCTCGAAATCACGTGAGCCGGCTTTTTGCAACCCCAAGAATTTCTTTTTGACTTGTTAGTCTTTTACTTGTGTACCAATCTATATAGCTTTCTTTTATTTTATTTGCTCATAAACCTCTGAATTCGAATCTAATTTATCAATTCTTTAAGTTGAGCAATACTTCCAAATCATTATTTTGAAATATTCTTCAAACCGATCCAACAGATATTTATCAAGTTCGAAACCACCCAAGTCGACGAATGCTTATGATGATGAAAGTATGAGTGACAACTATATAAAGATAATTTATACGTAATTTACAAAATAATTGTAATAGTTACAAACATTAATAACGACCAAACTATAATCGTTCTTCACAAGAAAGTTTTGGGAAACCTCAATAATTTTGTCAGTGAAACCATAATAAGCTCTATGAATTTAATGCTTTGATTCAATTAATAAGAGCAAAGTTACTCGTAAAGTCATAAGATAAAAGTTGAATGATCTAAAAAGTTCGATTTACATTCTAAACTGATATTTTTTTTCAAATATTTGATCCAAGCTATTTATCGAAATTTCAGACCTTCATGTTGCCTCTGATAAATTCTACATAATTAGATTTATAATCCTTTGAATTACCTATAGTATGATCGGAACTACTTGATATTCCATCATCGTAATATTCGGAGTCTTTTAATTCATTGCAACAACAACTGTAAGAATTCTCAGTTAATATTCTGTAATGTTAAATAATTCTCCTGTTCAGACTATATGAATTGACGAAAATTCTACAATCCGAATATTGTAGCATAAATTACTTTCAAGAATCCTTAGTTGGAATTAAATGGTCTCTAAACTTAAATTTCCAAGGAGGATTTGTCATAATTTCTATGATTTTAAACTTTGAATAACAAAAATGAAAATAATAATAATAAATTACAAAGTTCAAACTTATTTTAATGCGTAAAAATAAAATATTAACGTTGACTATTATTTCTCTTATTCCGATTATGTTAAATCGGAAACTCTCCAGCGATGAACAAACATCAAATACATAGTTACGTATACTTTCACGATTATTTTTTACTTACAATTATTAATTAATAAAATAAAACTTTTGAGGGATATATCTTGAATAATTTATTTTGATATATAATTTCTTATAAATTTGCTGCCCATTTATTTATATTATATAACTAGAGTTTGCGGTTGCGGGGACTTCGTCCCCCGTTTAGCATTATTGTGTAATCATGATAAAACATTTAATTTTATACATTTGTTTTTATTTTTATTTTTATTTTTAATACCATCGAGTTTATTAATAGATTTTTTAAATATCGAATTAAAAAATTTAAATTTAAATTTTTTTAATCTTATTAATACTCGTGATATTTTTTTTATTTCTAATTTAATTAATATCGGATTTTTAATTTTTTAATAATTATTGTATAGTAAATTTATTTTTTAAAATTCTTTTTTAATATTCGATTTTGATTTTTGTTTATTTATTTTTAATTAATATCCACGATGTTTATTAATGATTTTTGCATTTTTTAATTTAATTTTTTAATTTTTTTTTTTAATAATTTATTTATTTCTAAATTCTTTTTAAAGAAATAAATAAAGTTTTATTTAAAATAAAATATGATGGTTATATATAGAGATTGCTGAAGATCTCAAAAATTCAATCATCAAAAGTATACCTTCGCCAACAATAGCTATATATTTGCAATTATATTTTTATTTAGCGGTTGGCAAAAAAATATTATTCCATTAAAATTAGCATGATCCTAATAGAGTGACCAAATTCAAGGAGCAAGTTTCTTATAAAAGCGACTTGATTATAGGATTGTATAAGGAGAATTTAATGGTAATAATATTGTATATTCAATAATAAACATTACATTCAGAACTATATCGTCCACGAATAAATTAACTTCTTTCATAAGCGCGCGAACATTTGGTACTTCGCCTTTAATATCAGAATGTAACATTGGTTTAGGTAAATTTCTACAATATTTCATTGATAAACCAAATAATAAATATTTTGATTATCTTTAGTACCGCTTAATGAAACTGTAGCGGCTGAACTTCTGAATAAAATTGCTGCTGATAAAGTCAGATCAATGCATGGTGGAATTTATGAAGTAAATTATTAATTGAAGCCAAGGTTTCCACCGAAAATATAATGCTCGTCCTAAAAGAACTGATGAGTGGTCATATTGTTTCTTTAGGAATAAATCACTTGACCTCATTTATCAAAATTTCTAATGTTAAAGACATATAAAGATTTATATATTGGCTTAATAGACATATTGAACAAAATAATCTTTATTTTTTTTTAACAAAATAAAATAAGTTTGAAGACGAAAAATTCAGAATCCAAAGTATCATATGATAGTTATATATATATATCTCTTTACTCTTCGAATTTTGTGTTTTGAATGATTGGAGAAAACTTATTTCTATTTGCAACTTGCTTACGGATTAGCTTTCAATAGCGAAACATTTTTTTTTGAAAAAGTGAAGTCACACAAAAATTACAAAAACATACCGCAGTAACTGCATATAGAGTTAAAATCTTCGAAATATGGGCAGTCAGGTCAATATAAAAGGAGGAAATCTATTAGTACATAGGAACTATAATTAGACAAAATTTTCAGATTACCCCTTTTTTACTAACATCCTACCTCCCATATGTAAGTAAACTTACAGAAATTTATTCTTCAACTTAGGTTCCTGTTTAATTACTGCATATCCCACAATATAACATAGCCTCCGATCAGTGCTCCCCGGCGCGTATTCGGAGCGAAAAACGCTTGTTATTAATGTGAAATTCAAGAAATCTGATGAATACCTATAAAAATCCTTAATGTTTATAAAATAGTATAAAAAAACAGAAACTTAGCAATTAGAAGAATATAACTAATGACCAATATTCTATTAGCAAAAACCTTAATCAAAAAAAAGATTATTTTTTTCTATTTAGCATAGAAATGATAAAGCGTCGATGATGTGTTTTCCTATAATAACAAGTATAATTTAATAGAAACAATCAATTTAGCGGTCATATGTATTAATAAAAATTCATACTTACTATTTATTGAGTATTGATATCTAATCTTTAATATCAAGCTTTCTTGAACAATTTTCAGATGGAATAGATGAATTTAACTGACGAGTACACATCACACTTTGTTGCTGAACATTTGAACCATTTTGGGTTGCTGTACTTACATTTATTGCATTTATTGTAGATAGTCTAATAAATCATCATTAAAAAAGAGTATGAAACTCAAGCTTAGGGTTGGATCGGTCCGGTCCAAAAAGACCGGTCTTTCATCTTTCTTTGCTTTCTTTGGACCGAACCGGTCCATAAGTCAGTCCTTGGACCGGTCCTAAGACCGGTCTTGTACCATTCGGTCCCCTACCAGTCCGGTCCGGTCCAAGATTTATTTTCTCTCGA